CGTTAATCTACTCTCCTGTCTGGTTTGTTTGTCGGACAAAATGGCGGATATGGTGTTATGATTGGTCGGATCGCCTGTCAATCAAGCTCCATGCGAAGGGTCAGTTGTAAGATTAAATAGTCACAATTACCTTTTTTTATAATTTTACCAAATTTCCATAACCTTCTTCTAAAACCTACTCCAGTAATCTTTTGTTTTATTTACAACCTTGAAAAATATATTTTTTACAGTGTACTTGCCATGCATATAATACCAAGATACATGCATGTGGTGATGATTCAATACTATATATCAGTGTACCATGGTATTACCATATGAAACCACTACTACAGTACTTTTTGTGTCTGAGAAGCCAGTGAATCAGACCTAAATGTTTAACTGTAAGCGATGAGAGCAGATGTGAGCAGCAGCTCATTACTGAAAACTAGCGTATGACACTATGAGGACTATGGTGCTGAAAAGGTTGCTTTGATGATGTAACCAACCATGTTTCTCTCCAAGTTTCCATGGCGACATGTGGAACTGACTCCCCCATCCCCATCTGAAGTCTTTTGTGTGTGTTGGTGATAATGCCCTACTTACCCAAATGCCAACATAAGCATATTGTACTGGGATTTTTCCATCTCTAAATATAAAGGCTTGTATAACAGCATTAGTAGTTCCCTGATGAGCAAAGAGTCTCCCAAAACCTCTGCGTGTTTCTTATTCCCCGATGACTTTAGCTCACCTTCCATGCCAGGCTTTTGAAGAAAGAGTACAATCTCGTTTGCTCTAGGCCGCTTTAAAAACTCCCATAGCATGGTTCAAAATACCCTGCAGCCTTGAAAATAGGTCAGTGTTAAATATTAGAGTTGGTGTGATGTGTGAGAGAGAGTGTCTGGGACAGTCTCTTCTTTATCTCTGTCTTTACTGAATCGGTGCTTTGGGAAAAAATAGTCCAGTGAAGTGCACCAGAGTTTTTGTAATTGTTAATGGAATTGGAGAGATGGCTCTCCTCGGTCTGTCTTCACGGCCAGCCGGCTCTATTTTGTGGTTTTCATCCCTGCGTAGCTACAATTAAATGCTTGATGGGTTTCGTTCTGGGAGGGGAATTGCTTGCTTCATTGGCTCAAATGTTGTTTATATACTCTCCAAACTGCTTTATTTGGTGCTTTCCACAAATAGGGTGAACTTGGTGATTTTATTATTATTTTTTTTTAATCACTGAAGGCAGAAACCTTGTCCAAGTTTTCACAAAAGTAGCTAGTTCTTTAAACTTGAAATATCTGATGATTTTCTTGGTCTGTCATCAGAGGTCTTGATTTTCTGTTCCGTATCCGTAATTTCTGTATCATAATTTTATCTGTTGAATTGATATTTAATTAATTGAAGTAAAAAGCAGTTTTTTTAACTACAAGTTCTTTTTATAAGCTCTTATTTTAATAATTTCAAAACGTAATATTTAGCTGTCTCACATTTTGTGCAATAATTGATCTCTGTTATGGCACAAATTTCCTGCCATTTCTAATACTATTTAAAAATGTAACACCCAACAATTAACATAATTTGGACTCTTTGAAAGACATGGTGGGAAAACAAGTAAATAATAATAATAATGTTGCACAGATTAATTAAATCGATCAAAAGTGAAAGTAAAGACGTTTAGAATGTTACAAAAAAATCTGTTCTTTTGAATTTTCTATTTATTAAAGAATCTTGAAAATCTCAGTTTCCACAAAAATATGAAGCGGCACACCTGTTTTCAACATTAATAATAATAATAGGAAATGTTTCTTGAGCAGCAAATCAGCATATCAGA